TGTAGCACGGACACTTCAACTAGAGTAACGTGTTTGTGTCGGACATGCGTCGATACCGACACTCCTCGAACACTCTTCCATAATCATTATTCTTTTTTTACTAGAAATATTATATATTTGTAACTCAAAGTTATTAGTAAATAACAAATAGATACTCATATTTAAAAGATTTCAACAAAAAAAATTAATAAACATAAACTTTAATTTATACTATATAAATGAAGAATCTTAAAGAATTTAATTAACGTTTCATTTCAATACTTTTTTGAAAAATCACGTGTCAGTGTATTCGACACGTATCGTGTCAGACACATATGTCCGTGTCAGTGCATCATAGCCATCCATAAATTTCTCGTTAAAATCCTTAGTGATGAAATTTCTTCTAACTGCTCTATAATTTTAACAAGCGTCAAGTAGAAAGTCGGTGTAAATCTACACAAATTTGCCATGTGTTTTCCTCTTTGGAATCTAAACCTAATCAAAATCTGCTTTACTTAATAGTTAATAATCATGCAAATGGTGGGGATAGCAATAGATATGCATCAAAAATGAGACCATCTATAATCTATCCATGAAAAAAATATGGGTCCATCCAATTTGATTGAGCAACAAGAAAAATCAGTAACAGTTTCAAGCAAAGGTCTTAAAATTCATATCTTCTATTAAAGAATAAATCAAGGAACAAGCTCTCCTGGCTGATATTTTTATGACTAACACATTACAAGTATGCTGTTTTGTCCTCGTTGAAACTGCTTCAGGACTTGCGATGGTGACCTAACAAAGAGGGTACCTAAATTATGTGGTCCAAAAGACTAGTCTCTCCTTTTTTTTCATTATTATTGTCTCTATTTAGTTAAAATAGTGCAATATATAATGGAAACCCCTGAGAGGGTCCCAAGTTTGGAAGTTCAAACTTTATGAATCGTGTGAACGCTTACCAGCAACTTCATTTACGGATAAGCAGGATAGAGATCAGCCGCAAAGCCAGTAAACTAAAGTTTCCATCTGAAAATGGATTTAAAAAAACAGGTGTCAAAACTCTGCATGGTAATTTCCCGCTTTTCAACATCACAGAATCAGAAACAAATTTTTCTACACAACATATGATTGTTAATAGTGTAAAAAGAACCTGAAGCATATCATCTTTGGGTTTTCCAAATGATGAAATGGAGCATGAGGCTATTGACCCGAACAATCCGACCTGAAAAACTATTAAGGACCAGTTAAACTATTCAATCAAAAAAATTGAACATCAGAAATATCCTTCATTACAGAGATGCATATTTTCCTCTATATAGTCACAAAATGAACATAGCGGCAAATGCATTACTAATGGTAAAAGCTCTGGATTACTGAATAACAAAATTGTCCACATTGTCTATAGCTATCATGATCAAACTCAAAAGACCCTATCATCAGACAATCAAAATTCTAATCTTTGTTTATCCCTACCAGAATCTGGAAAAAGATAATAGCCACAGGCCCACAACAATTGGAAGCCAATATACATCAAACAGCACAACAAAAAACCTTCCATTCAGGTGTGCATCATAAGAAAGCCTATATTGCTAGTGCATTACGCAAACTGTAAGGATTATTTACTGAGATAGACAACAGAAAAGTCAAAGAAAGGAGTTGTTGGATCACCAGAATTGGCATTGTCAGGAAAAAGTTGCATCACCAATTATTAAAAGATATCAACAACAGAATCAAACCATGTGTTCTCAATATAGGGAATGGGAAAATGAGATCCATATACAAATACACAACTTTTCTCCTTGTCCTGGAAAATTAAACTATAAAATATTTACAGGATGAAACCCCACCAAGAGTTTCTATTCCCAACCATTTTATTCCAAGATTATAATGCTAGCTAACCTTAAAAACATGATGTCATGGATAGGACCTGTTATCTCAGTATCTCAACCCTAAATCTGTCTGACTGCTCAAAGTTCCTTAAAAAGGTATGCACAGCCTTTTTATCCAGGGGTAGAAATGCACAAGTTTCCGATGCCCTCTTGCTTCCAAGGGTTGGGATCTCTTGTTTCCAGTAACAAATAATTCCTGTTTGTCATAACTGCCACAATTTTATACAAAGCTCTCATAATCCATTAGAGGGAGACAGTGATACATCCATAACAACTTCGTCAACAGTTGGCATATCTCTCACCGAATTAATGAGTCTAGTAACTTCTTTTGTAAGTTCTCTACGAACAAAATCAAAACGCTCTTTACTCAGCAATGATTCAGAAAACAAAGTTCCAGTTAGAGAATTGAATTCTTGAAACCATTCATCACTGATATTTTGTTTACTTTGTCCATTGTAAACAAGAGAGTTTTCTTGCCGCCATCGGTTCAAAAGATACTTGTCTGGAAGTTGAAAATAGTTCTTGACTAAGAGTACACGAAGAGCATGCCTGCATAAAGTTCCTGATGACTCAAATTCCTTACAAGAACAATGAATTTGCTCATCTTCTGGTATCCAAATAACAAGTCGTTCTCCATCTACCTTCTTGAAGTGGCTCACAAGATAAGACCCATTAGCCATTTCAGATGCGGCATATTGAGTAGATAAGACCATTTCTTGCTGTAATGCATTAAATGCAAAAGGGGTAAGAATATTCCGTGCATGCACTTCAATAGGTAAGCAAGTTTTGAGATGCATATACTGTGCTTCTTCATGAGTCTGGATTTTAGAATGTGATGAAATTCCTACCTACAAAAGTCAAAGGGGAAACAGTATAAATGCAAATAGCAAACACAGGGGAAGAGGGCTTTCTGTATAGAGTTAGTTGTCAGAGCTCAAATTGATAAGTAAACACTTTATTGTAATAAGAAATACATTTTCCTATAATAGGTTGTACCTGCTCAAAAAAGCCACGCAAGCACGTCTCGGCTTTGAAAACTCCTTTCAAGAATGTATCTACAGATTTCCAATATGCTGACGAAACTATTCGTGCAAGAAAGTAACCCCTAGTATAAGATAACGCCCAACACGACCGGACAGAAAAGAGCAAAGCTATATGCTTATCCGAATTCAGTCCAAATTGAGAAACCATTTGATTCCACCGATAATCAAATTCATCTGTATTTTCTAAATGATACAATGCTTCAAACTCATATTTGAATTCAGTGAACCTTGGTCCAAGTGGGAGAGAGAACCAGCTGGATACTCTAGGCAGGATATTATATAAAGAAATAAAATGCTTGGTATTAGGCAATTCACTTCTTATGACCTCTCTGAGCACAGGGTCAATATCAGTTATAATCGTTTGTGGATATCTTCCTTTCGTAAACCGAAGAAAAGCCTACGTCGATGCAAAACAAAATAAATAATTGACCGTTAAAAAGGAGAATCATAAAATAAGTAGAACAGTAAAAGAACTTTGTCTGCAAACCTGTAAAGCCCAAGCATATGAGCTGGGGGTTTCATCCTGCAATAAAGCACAAGCAAAGAAGATATTTTTTCCATGGTTGTCAATGCCAAGCCATGCTCCAAAAATTAAACCATAGGTCATCGAACAATATGTGGTGTCAAAATATACCACGTCGCCAAACATGTTATACGGATGAATCGAGTCTCCAAAAGACCAAGCAATGTTCTCAACTTTATCATTATCATCTACAGTAACATCATAGACAAAGAATGGATCAGCCTCCTTAGTAGTCCTGCATGCCTCAAGAAGATCCTTTGAGTCAGTTTCTCTTTTCTCAGTCAGCAAAGCATCATTCTCTTGAACAACTTTTTTGCGGTTCTGAATAAAGTTTCTGACATCTCTTTCCAAAAAAGAGAGTTGTCCACCACCTTGAATTCCCTTTTCCAGCTCAAGAACCTTAACTATACGGTGTACAGGAAAACCAGCTTTCGAAAGCAAAAGAATTCTCTCCTGGTCTGACTCCTGAATTTTACGATAAGCTGGTAGAAGGCGCACTTGGTCATCCTCCAAAAGCTCGTGATTATGCACATTACTAAATTGCACAACAAACCACTGAGAAACCCCATCTACAACCTCCTTCGACAAGTACATTTTCGCATCACACCCACAGCGAACTGATTTCCTATCCCTCTGATGCTCCCCCGTCTGTTTCTTCCTCGCAGGTGCAAACCCCGACCTATAACAAACAAAATCTCTCTTGTAAACACCCAATTGAGGACTCAACCTAGATCTCTCCTTCCTAATTGAAAACCCATTTTTTCTAGCAAAATTTCCATAATAGTCAAACGCTTCATCGTCATTCTTAAACACCATTCCCACATAAGGTGCAACCATACATTCTGATGAGCCAAAACCATTATTGACCGAACAGGAAGATATGCTGGCAGTGTCAGCCTCTCCCTCGTATGTTACAAAGCATTTCCAATCTCCACATGGGCATTGCTGTCTTTTCATCCACATATTCTTCGAAGGTACTAACACCATAATTGATTATATGCACTCGCTAATACGACAGTGTATATATAACTTGTTACGATCACAAAATTCTTGAAAAGCACAGAAGCCACTAGAGTATAATTCCTGCAGGGAAACTTCAATAAATCACTGGAGTACATTTTTCAGTTAAAATTCAATCTGCTTGAGTTCAACTCTCAATGTGGCTAAACTTCAAGATTGACACCATCTACTGATAATACCACTCAATTTTACTGATATTACTGAACAGCTACAGAGCTAGAACTAAATGAACCCCACAACAATAAATCCAGTAGTCAAATCAAGTGGGATACTTCAATCTAGGGAGGCTATACTATAAATACATTTACCAAGATATAATTACTCGTAATAATTGTCAAAATTGCCAGCTAGAAAATCAAAGAAATTCATGTGTAGGAAAGGAAAATAATGAACTCTAGTATATTAGCGTACCGTAACACAAAAAATTCCAATAACAAGCTTCTAATTCCATGGTTTTCTCTGTTCTTCAACTATGCCCCTGTTCCTATTTTTCGCGAGTGCCTACGTCGTGAGAGTGCGTGTGAGAAAGACAATGAAAGGGGGTGCTGGAGAGGCTTCAAAGTTCTCGTTTGGGCCCTCGAAAACTGGATCAGAACGGTCCGGGCCTTTTGTCCCCGTTCCTACAATGAAAATTACACCACTATTAGGGGGAATCGAATCGAATCGAATCGAATCGAAATTTTCGGATATTTAATAAGTGAAATTATCGGGTCCAAATTTAATTATGGAACTGTTCGGGTTCGGTTCCATTCGGTTCGGTTATGTTCGGTTCCCGAGTTTCGTACAATAATTAATTTTTTTATATTTACAATAACACTACATTAATTCAACTATAACATGTTCAATCTTGACTCTTAAAAATAACGTAATTCAATCTAGTGATATCTTTTACACATTTTTTTGTTGAGTTCTTCATAAATTTAACTGTTAAAATCACAAGAAAATGAAGATAGCGCATTTACAATAATAGAAAGTTAGAAACGACACTACAGTAGAATAAAAAATTTTGGTAAATTTTAGATCAATTTGATTAAGTTGGGTTTGACTAAAAACTGAAAATAGTAAAATCATATTTTAGGTTTGAGCTAAATTATGATCATATTTTAGGTTTGAGCTAAATTAATTAATTAACAAATTTATTTAGANAATTAATTAGTTAGTAAATTCATTTTTAAAAAATAAAATAAATTGACTTATTTAAGATAAAAAAAAATTAGAAAAATTCAGTTCTTATTCGGTTCTAAGTCTAGAACCGAGAATCGAACAAACATGTCAGTTCTCGATTTAGATACTCATTCGAATATTTAATTAAAGAAAAATCGCTCGATTCGGGTCTGGTTCGAAAGTTTTGTCCCAACCCTAACCACTACAAAAGTTTCAAGATTTATTTTTAAAAATAATAAATTTGTGATTTTTTTTTTTTTTTTTCAAAAATTAGGTCACAACTTGTAATCCCTGATAAAAGTTTGATCACATTTTATAACCTCTCATAAAAGTTTGATCGCACTTTTTTGTGAAACAAAGTTTTCTACAGTAACGTATATTTAAAATTGTGTGCCTCTAAAAAGTAATTGTCAGAATTGAGTTTATCATGAAAATTTTACTTATTTGCCCTTCAATCTTTTTTCCAATTTCAATTGCTAAGTAGGC